ATTGTTAAAGTTTACTATAAATAATTAAATTTTTATATTATCAATTCAATATACTAGACGTTTTATTAACAATATCAATTTTTACATATAAAATTTTAAAATTTTATTTTTCTTTTTTTTCTTTTTTATTTTTCTGTTTTCATAAATTAGATAAATTATTATAATTTAAAAATTATTATCCTTTATTTTTATTATATAAAAGAAATAGAATTTTAACCAGAAAGGACAAAGTTTTAAGAATTTGATTTTAATTTTATTCAAACAAAATTTTACTTTAACTCTTGAACATTTTTGTGTTGATGTTTGTCTCATAGCTCGGCATTCCTTGTTGCGGGCTTCTTGAGCTTCTTCTGACAATTGCCCAAGAAGTAAAATGGCTTTTTTTATAACAACACTTCCATGGATGAGTACTTTATGTACAGTAACTGGCAATGGATACCAAAAATATTCCTTCAAATACAAAAGGGCTGTGTCTTTAGCAAACCGTTCAAATTTGTCGGCATTTATTGGCATACCACAATTGATTGCTCCCAATATAGTTCGGAACATTTTAATAAGTTCGATATTAATTCCTGTTATATCTGCTGTAATATCAGCATTGTGAAAAAAAACATGCGCGCTGTGTTTACATCATTCGTGTTTCCAAAATTTTGCATTGGCACATCAATAAGTAGGTCCAATTTTTCCTTAAACGCATTCTGAATAGTTTTCTTCTTCGTTTGCATCTTTAACTTTGCAGCTTCATCTGAAGCTTTTCAGATTTTGAATTCATTACGATAATCTATATGAAGAAGGCACTCCATGAATCTAATTCGTGCATGTAATGGCGATATTCCAAATGACAATAAGCCTTCATCAGCAATAGGTCATTTGAAAATTTCAATAGAATTCATGTCCTTTGGTTTCGCTCCCGATTCCAAGTCTATTGTAGAGAAATATAATGCTTTTCCTAAATTGAAAAGAATAACATTTGTGTCAGGTATTGGATACCTGTCCGAAATTGTTTGCTCATTTAGCTTCTTGAAGTCAATCACCATTCTCAGTTTTGGTGTTCCATTTCTTTCTATTCCTATTTTTGGTACAACCCAAACGGGTGAGTTGTATGGACTTTTAGCATTTTTTTATTTCAACATTTATAAAGTCATTCACAGATAGTGGATATGGATATTGTTTACTCCATATAGGAGTTTTAACAATTGTGCGGATTTCCGCTTTTACATCCGTTCTAAAAGGAATGTTTAGATTTATATTGTTGTGTATTTTTTTTATCTGATTTATTATTTCTCCTCTTAGGGTATTTATTGATTTATATTTGTTATCAGAAATATTGCCGGTAAATTCTTCGGCTGGCGCCTTAGGATTTTTTCCCAAGGTAATATGTTTATTTTTAATATTATTATTTTTTTCAATACTGCCGGAAAATTCTTTGGCTGGCGCCTTAGGATTGTTTCCCAAGGTAATATACTTGTTATTAATATTTTTTTCAGAGGAATTTATTTTATATTCCTCATTTTTATATATTAATATTTCTTTTTCAAAATTTAATGTAATATTGGCCTTTTTTAGAAAATTATAGCTTATTAATAAATCTGCATCGAGTCCATTTATTTCATAAAATCTTTCTTTTATATTAAATATGCTGAATTCTGAGAAATGGGTTATTATTGTGTGACCGTTAATGGTCCTAATTCTTTTTTTAATAACTAATTTTTCCCTAATTTTAAATATATTTGGCGAACAATAACAACTTGTTGCGCCTGCATCAATTAAAATTTTTAATCTTCTTTTGGACTTTGTTGTGGTCGCGAAGACATATGGGAGGTCGTGGCTTTGTCTAAAAAAGCACGCTCGTTTATGTTGTTGACCCTCTGATGTTTAGCTGGAGGCTGTCCACTGTTTACTTTATTGTCCATTTCTCTTTTTATAAAATTGTTTTGTGGATTATAAAATTGTCCACCTTGAAAATTTTTATTTCGATTATTATAATTTCTGTTAAATTATTATTTTGTGAAAAACCTCATTGGTGTTGATTATATTTTTTATTTTGGTTATGGGCATTTTGCTTAAATTGATTGGAGTCATCGACCTCCATTGGTTCGGGTTTACTAAATGTGCTTTTTTGATTAAAGAATCTGTTGTTATTAAAATTGTTATTAACAGGGAATCGTAAATTAATTCTGTTGTTATTAAAGTGATCGTGAGCATTATTGCTGCTGAAATGCAGAGCAAAGTTTGCTCTCCTATTATTTGATTCTAATTCCTGAGCCTTTGCCAAGGCATTGGGTAGATCCTCTGGAGAGAGTGAGAACAGGATATTGGATAAGGGAGCATTCAGCCCCGTGATGAACACTCGAAGAGCGTTTTGACGATTTTGATCATTAACACCCTTAGTTATATTACTATTTTTACCATGCGTCTTGTTGGTTTTGTTTATTAAAAGTGTTAATTTTTGGTTCACTGAATTGTAATAATCTATAATAGGACGACTTCTTTGTCGTAATACACTTAATTCTTGTTCAAGAATGTGTAGGGGTCGCTTATCTGCATAAGCAAAATCTAGACGACTAATAATAGCGTCAAAGTTTAGGACTGTGCCATAGCTTGTTAAAACATCATTGGCATCCTGAATAATTTTATTACGGAGAATCGTTAAGCCGCGAAGTATCTCTTACTTCCTTTAGTGTAAAGATGAATAGAATTATTGGCAGCCTCGCGCATTAGCCATATAATTAGATATTTTTCTAATAGAATTTATTTACCTAAAAGCACAGAATTTAAATTATCATAATCCTTAAGTCGTTTTTTCCCGTGGGCGCCATCCACATTGTACTCTAGAACGATCGATTCATCCAATAAATTTTTCAAATTCTTCTCTACAGAAGAATTCAATAATATAAAAATTGTTGACACCTGTTTATTTAAAGAAATATTTAGTGTATTAATTAATGAAGTACTCGTATGTAGTTCAAACAAACAAAATAACACCCACATATTGATGCCTTACTTCAACTTTTATATTACTGTTGACTTCCTTTAATGCATCCTCACTCTTTATTGGGAATAGCGACTTTAATGAAGCGATTGATGTCTGTTGCCTCAAGAATGACTTTATTAAAGCCTTATTCTCGGCCATTAATTCAACAATAATTTTTTTTTGATCTATAAAAGTAACAAATAAAGGTAATTAAAAATTGAATTAATTTTAAGTTAAATTACTTTCTATCTGATTATGTTGTTGTTTAATCAGATCTTCTAACGATTTGTGATTTTCGTTTATAGTATTTTCGATTGTATTTTCTTCTCCATCTCTCCTAACCGATGATCGGTAGATGATGTCACGAGCTTGTCTTTAATGAAAAAAAATGTATGCGCTATTGTTATATAAACTGAATTTGTTACTTACATGGAATTTGAACACATTCATTTGAGTTCATCGCAGCGCGTTTTAAATTCTTTTCCATTTCCATATTTATACTGTCCTATTATTTATTAAATTAATTCTATATTATTATATATCAGTAAAAGATATAGCAGTAAAAGAGATGTTTCATCGAAGTAAGGCCAACATATTTAATATCATTATCTGCTAACATTAATTGATATTCTTCAGTCTCAGGTTCATAGTCCACCAAGCATATTCCTAATGTGGTTGACTCGATCGGTTCCTCATTCATGTTTCTGATATTTGAAAACTTCCTACATACAACAAAGTTGTCACCAATTTGTAGAAACCTTTCTATTCTAACGGGAATGGAATTCTTAAGACAGCAATAATTATTTGGTGCCTGTGATGTTAAAATAAACCATAAATTTTATTTTTGAACAGTTTGATTCCATTTTCTTTCGATTCATCAAAATATATATCCTCCTTATTTTATTACTAATTTTCTGCAGAATTTGAGTTGGTTTTCTTACATATTTTTTTAATTTCTGCAAATAGTTTCCAAATGCGTACTCATTTCGAATACAAAATTATCCAAATAACATTCAATATTTGATGGTTTTTGTTGCCCTAAATAAATCCCGACTGGAAGCACTGGCACACATTTCATATTGACAGCTCGAATCAATATTGGCCATAGTTGTGTTTTCGAACTTTTAAACAGAGGAAGACCATCAATATTTACGTCTATTAGCAATTTATTTACAAATTTTATCACATTATATAGTTTTTAAGTTGTTTTTCTACTCCAAAATGAATGTAGCTACCGTTTGCTATTGCCTGTATTGCAGATTTTTCGCTAAATTTTCACAAATTATGCGGAACATCTAACTTTTCATCACACAATATACTGAATAAGTCAGAAACGCATGCACGTGATGGCCTATGCTTAGAATACCATTTTTTTAATTTTTCTGATAATAGCACACTTTGCTGCTTCTCGTTCGATATCTTTATCTATGCCGACCCACCAGCAATGTTGACGTGCTAATTGCTTCATTTTTATTACGCCCCAGTGTCCTTCATGTAAAAGTTGCAAAACAATTTTTTGTAAAGCCTTCGGTATTACTACACGGGTGACATTACCCTGTAGACAAAGTAACCCCTGTTCTATTGTCAATTGAAGCTTACTAGTAAAGTAAGGCATTAACTCGCCATCTTTTAACTTTATAGGCCAACCTTCACTGACAAATTTTTTAACACTGTTATATAGATAATCACTTGCTGCATGCTTTTGTATTTGATTATGGTTTATTGGCAAATTTATCTGTTCTACATTATTGCACCACTCCTGCTTATCAAAGTCCACATCTGGTCCCAGTGGCAGTCGAGATAGTGCATCAGCATTTGCATGTTCTTTAGTACTACGATACCTAATATCATATTGGTATCCCATTAAAATAATAGCCCATCGCTGAAGGCGATTGGCAGTTATAACTGGCAGTTGTTTATTTTGATGGAAAAGACTTACCAATGGTTTGTGATCAGTTACTAGAATAAACTTTCGTCCACTGATGGAAGCGTTGAACTGCAAAATCTATAACAAGAGCTTCTTTTTCTATCTGACTTGATGCCGATCCAATGTTTTCGATGCAAAAGCAATTGGTTTTTCGGAACTATCGGCCAAAATGTGAGATAATACAGCACCGATTCCATATGATGACGCATCAGCAGCAACGTGTAATTGTAAATCTTCCCGATAATGTGCTAATTCTGTAGCCTTTATAATTAAATTTTTTAATTGCATAAATGCGCGATTTTGCTAGGTACCCCAACGGAAAGATACATCTTTACGACGCAACATATTAATCGGCGCGGCAATTTGAGAATAATTTCGGATAAAATTGTGATAGTAATTTATTTTTCCCATGAAGGATTCAACTTCTTTTAAATTGCGTTCTTTTAAAAGAAAAGTTTTAAGTTCTTTTATCGCTTTTACACTGGATTCATCGGGTAGAATACCGGCAGCTGTTATTTGACGTCCCAAATACACAATTTTTTGTTGTAAAAATAAACACTTTTCTTTTTTACACCGAATTTCATTTTCTTTTAAAATTGTTAATACATTTTTCACACGTTTGATATGTTCTTCGGTACTAGAAGCGGTTGTAATAATATCATCTAAAAAATTTCCACAGCCTTCTTGATTTTCTAATAATTGCTCTAAGTACCTTTGAAAAATTGCAAGCGCACTAGCAATACCGTACGGAAGACGTTGGTACTGAAAAAGACCGATTGGAGTCTTTATTACTAAGACTTTTTTAGTTTCATCATCTAGCTCCATTTGCAAATAAGCGCCTTTCAAATCTATTTTTGTAAACAGTTTCCCGTGCCGAATAGTGTGAAATAAACTTTCGCGCAAAGGTGATGGATATGGTTCAACATCAATTTGTGGATTCACAGTAGCTTTAAAATCTGCGCAAATACGAACCGACCCATCAGGTTTTTTGGCTAACACGATAGGTGATGCCCATTCACTAAATTGCACTGGCTTTAATATTTCAGCATCTTTTAACCGATTGATTTCTTTTTTATACTGCGGTATTAACGCGAACGGTACTTGTCGGCTTTTACAAAATTTTGGTATAGGATTTTGTTTGAATTTTATTGATGCTTTAAAATCTTTAATAGTGCCTAAAGCAGGCTTAAACAATTCAGAATAATTTTTAATTATTCCATTTACCAATTTTACAATTGTTTGGATTTGATGAATTTCAAATCCATATAGGCTATGATTTCTTTTAATAAGTTGTGGAAGATTTAAAAAACTATACGTGGATTTTGTTATAATTGAAACCGACGCATCTGAATCTATTTAAAATGTAATTATGTTATTTAAAAGTTTTAATTTTACGAAACTTTTACCACTTTCATAGAACACAATACCGGTTTCATTACCCAGCGGGACTTTCGGAATCGATTCCCTCAGCGCTGAATGGTAATGCCTAGCGCTGATTATTCAAAGGAAACTCCTAATTATTTTAACACGTGCATGTCATTGCGGGCAAGCGCTGAATCGTTCAATTACCTTTTCAAATTTGTAATGCAACATTTCAGCGCTGATATGTTCGCTTACCTTTTCAATTTTACCTATGCTATTGATTTTTAAATAAAATACTATAAATTTTTTTTGTACAAATTATATTTTATATTTATGGTTTATAAAATTGAAGTATTAATATTTGCATAAAAGAATATAACATATTTACATTTTAAATTATTTATACATAATTATTTACATATTAATTTATTTAAATATTATCTTATTTAGATATTAAATTATTAATTTATTCACTTATTTACATAACATATTAACTTGTTTAAATATAAACTTAACTTATTCACAGATTTACATAACATATTAACTTATTTAAAAATAAACTTAACTTATTCACAGATTTACATAACATATTAACTTATTTAAATATAAACTAAGCTTATTCACATATATACATATTTATATAAAGATATATTATTCTGTGGAATTGTTACTAGAGACTTGAACAGATTTCCGCACACTCCTCGCCTTGTGGTACTTGTTTTTGGCTGATCGAATCGCATGCCTTATTTCATTTTCGATCACTTGGTAAGGCTTACCATCTGTCCTTAAATCGTCTGTAAATATAAAAGTAAGTTATTGTATACGCTAAAATAAATTATTTACAATATACTATACCAAAAAGTGCTGCTGTCACATTCTTTAACGCTCTTAAGGACTTCTTGCCTTGTGTACCATCGAAGTTATAATTTATAAGTATACTTTCTCCAAAAATCCACGAAAACTTTCGCGTTATTGGTTGTTTGTCAATAACGCGTCTCATTGATGCAGCCTATAATTAACGAAATAGATGAAAAGAAATGTATGAGTTAGTAAAATTGTTACATGTGAAAATATTCATAAGTTGAAATTGAAAGTAAGAAACATATATAATTTAACTTACAACTACTTCAACGGCAGTGATTTCTTCGTTAAACTGAATTAAATAAATCCTCCTCACAGATTGAATTGGAAACTGTTCCAATTGAAGCAGCTGACTGATTTTACCCTTGCTTTAGAATGACTGCATTCGCAGCACATTGGTCAATTATTCGTTCTTGACGCAGTTGCATCTACATAATACAAAACAAAAAATAACATTTAAAATTTTAAATATATTTACTTGATTTTGCATACACTTACAGTTAGTTTATGTTAAATTCACAAATTATATTTTATTTATATTTTTAGATTCACAAATTATATTTTATTTATATTTTTATATTTTATTTTGATTTTAAAAATTTAAAATTGTTCACTGCACTGATTTGACGCACTTCACTAAAATCAAAAGCAGACTAAATATATAAATTAATTTATTTCTTTGAATAATATTTTTGTAATAATTTTTATATTAATTTATTTGTTCATTCAAACAGTATTTTTTACAATCTTATTATTAATAGTATTTTTACTAATTGTTGTCGCTTACGCAGCGTATTAAAAACTAAACTAAAAACTAATTTTACAATAATTGTAACTCTTTAACAAATATCCATTACGGGATATTGTTTTGCAGAAATAACCAACGGTAACTTGTTTTGATACAATTGTATCAAAACAATATCCCGTATGAAATATTTGTTTTGATGCAATTGATCAATAGTTATAATGATCATTACAATAAATGATCATTAACTCCTCCGCCCTTAAAAATTGAGCGTCCCGATCAATGGAGTTGCAACAGTTTACTCAATGGTTATAAATATCATTAATAATATTTTTATAACGTACAATCTTATTTTAATATAATTTTACAATTTAGATATTTCCATTTTTAGCAGTTGTGCTATGCACATGCATTCAATAACTTAATTAATTTAATTTAATACAACTTGTCAATTAGCTATAATATTATCAATATACATTTCTTTAAATATAATTTCTTCTTTCTCTTAAGAATTTATCTTAATACAATATTTATTTTCATTTTTAGCAGGTGTGCTATGCACATGCATTTGGAATATTTTATAATAATTTAATTCATTTAATTTAAAATAATTTTTTAATTTAGCTATAATATAATAAATGTAAATTTCTTATTTTATCGATAATCCTTCTAAAGTTTGAGAGGAAAAAAAAAAATTTTTTTTCTTAATCAATTCATGTAAAAAACTTTTGCTAATAAATAATTATTTTCTTTATCCATCTTAAATTTCTTAAAAAAGAATAGTTAATTTTTTATATTACTTTTATGAACTGTTTTTCCGGTTTCTGTAATAATTGTACTATTTTTGTTTTCTTTGACTATTTCTTTTTTAAAACGCGGTATTAATTTGGTGCCGTATCTTTTATTAATTTTAACGTAAATAATTTGCCCCGGTACATAGGCTTTAGGTGGTATCTTGTTTTTATTATAATAACTGACGTCTTTTCTTTGTTTTTCAGTAAGTCTTTGTATGTTGTCTTGTTTTGCTAATTCATATTGCTCAGGGTTTATAAAAACTCTACGACCAAAAAATACTTCTATGGGTTTTTGTTTTATGGTTGAATGTATGGAATAGTTATATTCTTATATTGATCTATCTAGAAGCTCTTCAAATGATCTTTCAATATTTTCTGTTTTTAAACATCTCAAGATTTCAGTCAAGGTTGAATGAAATCTTTCTATTTGACCATTTGCTGTGCTGGTATGAGGTGGTATTTTATAAACTTTGATTCTTAACTGGTCTTCTAATAAAAACATAATTGATTTTGAATTTAAGCTTTTCTCGTTATCAATTACTATGGACTGAGGAATTCCGAAGATGAAGAGTAATTGTCTAAGTGGTTCCCTAATATCTTCTACTGCTTTAGATTTCAGTAATCTGGCCTGAGCATATTTTGAATATTTGTCAATGGCTGTTAAAACTAAATTCTTTTCTGCAATATAAATGTCAATATGAATGATTTGTCCCGGGAATGTTGGTATAGGGGTGGATTTTATTTCAAGTTTGTTAGGGTGTCTATCATAATGAATTTAATTCGGGTGGTCTCGAGAGCGTATCTGCAACTATATTATTACTGCCTGGCTTATATTTAAGCTCGTAATCATACTCTTCCAGCATTGATTTCCATCTTTTGAACTTGACGTTATCATTTTTGTTGCTCAATGCGAATGTGAGCGGCTGGTGATCGGTGAATATTTTCAATTTTGCAGTACCATATAAGTAGTTTCTAAGAGATTTCAGAGCCCAAATAATTGCCAGCATTTCTTTTTCATTTGCAGCATAGTTTTCCTCTGTTTTACTCAATGTTCGTGAAATGAATGTGATTGGTTTTCCACATTGCTCTAAGACTGCACCAATAGCGTGATTTGAAGCGTCAGTAGTTAAATGAAACTCTTTTTGGAAATCTGGGTATGTTAACAGTACTTCTTTTGAGATAAGAGCGTTTTTAAATTTGTTAAAGGCTTCTTTTTGTACACTGCTTAGGTTAACTAATGTTTTTTTCGATTGATTTTTTGAGACTCTCCCATTTTGCCCTTTCAATAGATTGGTAAGAGGCTTCGCTATTTTGGCGTAGTCTCTAACAAATCGCCTATAGTAACCTGATAGACCAAGGAATGCTCTTAAATCTTTTAATGTTTTTGGACAAGGAAATTTGATAATTGATTTTACTTTAGCAGGGTTAGTAGAGATTCCTTCGGGAGAAATGAGAAAACCTAAGAACTCGATTTGTTTCTGGAAAAATTCACATTTATCTAATTGGATTTTCATGTTAGATTCACGTAAGATATAAAAAATTTCGCGTATATGGTCTGCATGGGATTTTTCATCTTTACTAAATATAATGATGTCATCTATGTAGACATAACAGATTCTTCCTATGTGTTTTCTTAAAATGTCATCATAATATAATATTTATATTTATTATTAATATTTAGTGTAAACGGGAGTATCTGAATTCGTTCTAATGGTAGCGACAACTTGTGTGGTGAAAGTTAATCTTTCGTTTGGTTCGGAAAACAGTTCTAAATGTTGATGTATCAATGTTTAAATTAGTTTTTTTGTAATAAATTCATATGTGTATCTCTTAAATTAACAAAATTGACGTCCTGTGATGTTAATTGCTTTAACTGAATTTTAATGGAATTTCTAATACTCATAAAGTTGTGTTTAGTATGAATAGAATAGAAATAAACAGGGTACTAGCTCCCACCGGAGCAGAGCACTGCGACCAGATTGATCTTTTGTGCCGTAACTGACCCTAATTGAACAGAAGACATTCCGCTTTCCGAATGAAGGCCGTTGAGGACCTCCTAATGTCAGAAGGAGAGAGCAGCTCTCCTCCCAGTGATTTCCTCCTTGCCCAGATCAAGGCTGGGCAGTCACAGAGAATGTGGCTCGTAGTCTCGTCTGCTTCTAAGCAGAGTCGACACTCCATCTCTTCGGACAGACCTGTTTTGTTAAGGTGATAACGCAGTCCATGGTGACCCGTTAAATATCCCACCAGCAACCTCAAATCTGATCTGCTGAGGAGAGATGCCTTGCCATAACTATATGGATGAACCAGCTGTTTTGCCTGACGGTTACCTCGATTGTCACTCCAGTAGCGACCTCTCTCGGCTGAGATCCATTTATCAATTAGATAACTAGTTGTAGACCAACTTAGTCCACAATAGGGTTCTGGTCCACAGATTTTAGTTGCAGAACCTGCCCTTGCAAGGCTGTCGGCAGATTCATTTCCTTTTATACCTGTGTGACCA